GAGTGTTCGATTCCTGGTCTCTCTTTTCCTCTCTCCCTCCCTTCCACGCTCTCTCTCTGAATGAATGAATGGATGAATGAATGAATGAATGGATGAATGAATTGCTGCTGAGGTGATGCCAGTCTGGGCTTTACCACCCGGGGATTCATTCCTGGAAGCTGAGCTGCTGACCCTCCATTTTCTGCCTCCTTGGCATTTGGACATAATCAGCCCCGGGTGGTTGTGAGGGAATGAGCTACCCCCTCTTCAGGCCCTGTAGCCACCCCCCAGGTTTACAGGGGTCTGCCTAGCCCAGAGGCTCTATGGCGAGGGGTCAGTGTAGTCATGAGTCTCCCCTGGCCCGGCCATGGACAGTTGGAGTTAGTGGGTGACGTGACCTCCTGCTGGGAGTTCTAGCCACAGCCATGAGCTGCCCCCCCGCCCCCCAGCAACCAGGGACCCCTGTCATCTGTGGTATCCATGGGCAGCAGGGCTGGAAGTGGCCGTAAGGCATCAGACCTGTCCCCACATTGTCAGAGGGGTGGACACTGGGGTGAAGAGCAACAGTGAGTGACTCGGCCGGGGTTGCACAGCAAAACGAGGTCAGCAGAGACCACCAAACACAGGTGTGCGGCCGCTCAGCGCGAGGCACCAGCCAGCTCACACATGTTTACTGACTCGAATGGAACTCGAATGAAGACCTCGTCCAGGCATCTGTTTAGTTGTCACTCAGCACACATGGCAATACCTACTATGCGTACACTGGCATCTGTTCAGTTATCACTCAGCACACATGGCGACACCTACTATGCGTACACTGGCATCTGTTCAGTTATCACTCAGCACACATGGCGACACCTACTATGCGTACACTGGCATCTGTTCAGTTATCACTCAGCACACATGGCAATACCTACTATGCGTCCACTGGCATTCCTCAACCTGGCACTAGTGACCTTTAGGGCCAGGTCACTCATTGATCACCCCACACCAGGGATTGAGCCCGCAACCTGGGCATGTGCCCTGACTGGGAATCACACCGCAACCTCCTGTTCATAGGTCGACCTCAACCACTGAGCCACGCCGACCAGGCTGTGTGTCTTAAATTTCAATCAGTGAGCTTAGCTCATATACTTTATTGTCACTTTTGTACTTTTAGGACTTCTGTTATGCAATCTTTTTCTGTTAACCTCATTTTCATCTTATTTCCTTTTGGCCTGTCTTACCTTGCTTTTGTACTTTATTGTCACTTTTGTACTTTTAGGACTTATTTCTGTTACGCAATCTTTTTCTGTTAACCTCATTTTCACCTTATTTCCTTTTGGCCTGTCTTACCTTGCTTTGGCTGGGTTGATTTTTATTTTCCTGATATTAAAATCATACAATTTATAAAATCCACATACAATTATAAAGCCCATACTTACGTTTATTTTTCACTATCAATTTCTAAACCTCATCAGTCTCCCATGCCTTCCTTCCACCACATCTAAAAGCCAAGTACTGGTGTTCTTTCACCTGTCACTGGTTTCTCCCTCTGACTTTGAATTCCAGATTGTCACGAACACACTTTGTTGTGTGTGGGCATCATTCTTGGTTTGATAACAATGGACTTTTCTATGCTACTGCCCATCCTTATTTCTCAAAGCTTATTGCTCAGCTCTGGATTCACTTCTTTACTTGCTCATATACTCAGAGAGTTTAGCAGGGTATAAAATTCTAGGTTCAAAGTTCCTGCAGCTCTGGCTCAGGTGGTTGGAGCGTCATCCCATACACCAAAAAGGCTGCAGGTTCAATCCCCACTCAGGGCACATGCGTAGGTTGCAGGTTCCATCCCCAGTTGGGGTGTGTACGGGAAGCAGCCGATCGATGTTTCTCTCTAACATCTCCTTCTCTCTCTCCCTTCATTTCTCTCTAAAATCAATAAAAAACATTTCTTCAGATGAGGATTAAAAAAAAATTCTTGCCTTTGTAGTCCAACAATACATTGAAATAATTACTTGTTTTGTTGTGTCTGTTGCTGCTGAAAGTTTTAGTTACAGCTGATACTTGCTCATTTGTAAGCAATCTGGTTTTGTTTTTTAGAAAACGTTTAGAGTTTTATCATTAAGATTCTCAAATTTCACAAAATATATCTAAGAGCGGAATTTAGGGGTTCAGTTTCTATCGTGTTTGGCATTTATGAGAAACCTCTTGCCTGCCTGTCCCTCAGGGAACCTCCTAACACCTTCCAGGGCTCCCCCAATTTTAAGAGTGAAACCCAGGGCTGGTGTGGGGTATACTCGGCTCTAGTAGTCCTGGAGGCCTCCTCCCTGCAGTGTGCCCGGCCGGCTCTACCTACACGGCGCCGCTGCCCCTGCTTCTGGCTGGCAGTAGGGAGCCAGCCCTGGTGATGTGCGATGTGCGCTGGGCAGAGTTTAGTGAGAGACAGGCAGGGAGAGGCTCTCCCTCAGCTGGGCATCAGTCTCTGCTCCGACCCGCTCTCACTCCCGTCTGCATGTCCCTCCCACACCGGGGTCCAGTCTGTCCTTTCCCCAAGGGTTTCTCATAGTCTGTGGAGTCAGTTTCCAGAATCAGTCAACCTCTGAGGCCTCTCTGGCAACCAGGCCAGCCTGGGGTCTGTTGAGAAGAGGGGGGCCCTCGCCTCTTGGTGCCCCCTCCTGTCCCATCCCGTCCGGCGCCTGAGTGGGTGCTCCGGACGGAGCAGGTTGGGAGCCCGTGTCTGCCCGTCTCCCTTCGGCCCCTTCCCACGCTGATGTCATCACTTCCTTTTGTCTCCTCCGCAGTCAGACTGGTTCTTCAGTGACGACGAGGACAAGGGAGAGAGAGTAAGT